GGCTGCTCTCTGTTCACCTGTTTGCTCTCAGGAATTCTCAATCAGCTCCGTGCTCACTGGAAATCAGATGTAAACAACAACAAAATGTCTAGAGGACATGGCAGAAGGGCATTGCATTTGGAGTCTTGCGTCTTAGGTGCTCTATCTAAATCAGTCTCTTGCAGCACTGCGACAGAACTTTGAGGAAGGTATCTTTTAAATGTACTGTCCTGTCTTTCTAAATGCTGTGTGAATCCAGACTGGGCAGCCAGGGACATTGGGAAACATAATACATAAAACACCTTCATTTCCTTCCATGCTAGCCTGCAGCTTTCATGGCTCGTAATTGGTAGACATCAGATGGGCTTTGCTCAGGCTGATTGATTTTCGGAGGGTGAACTGGGTCCTTCACAATGCACAGAGAAAGATAACAGGATCCCTGCTGTTTTACCCTCACAATGGACTTTGTTCAGATGATCTGATCCCTTGTCACCTGCTAACATTTTATGTCACTCCACCTCTTCATGGGAAAGCTAAGCAACAATTGGAGATGACAAAAGCGAAAAGTTTTGCAGCTTGCTGTGTGGATAGGATAGAAGCTTTCAGTGACTTTTTTTTTTTAGTTGCAACACTTAATTATCCAAGGGCTTCTTTTTCTTTTTCCTTTTAAATGTCTTTTAAACTGATGTTTCGGTCAGACTAGTAGACCTTCCTTATAGTGTGTGTGTGTGTGTGTGTGTGTGTGTGTGTGTGTGCGTGCACACATGCGCACATGTGCGCACACACACAGGTGCCTGGTTGTGCATATCTGTGCATATGCAAAACAGAAAGAACATAAATGCATATAAACATCTGAAAACCTGTTCATTTTGCTCAGGGTTTTACTAACATTAGCTCCCCCTTTCTGACATCCTGATGCCAGTTACCTTTGCTTTCTCTTTTTCTCTCACGGCATCACCCTTTGCACCTGTTTCCAACTTCTTCATTTCACCTTTAGGGCACTGCATCCATAGACGTGTGATGTACATGTTTTACTGTCAATGTTTCTGGGGATATGTTGGAAAGTAGTTAGGCCTTTTGACATCGCTATAGTGGAAAACCAAATCAGGACAAACTGAGGGGGACAGAGATGCTATATGCTCTGCAATATATTAAACAGCTCCAGATGATAAATCATCCTATGTCCTAACAAACATTCAAGTGAGTGAAAAACTGTTTTATTTATCTGAACCTACAAACTACACTTTGCATAGGAACATGAAGCATCACTTACAAAGTTTTAATACACCCTGTTCTTCAGCAATCCAAATACTGCATAAATCAAGAGGAGGAAGTATTTTATTTTGTTCCAAACTTTGACAACAGTTGCTTACTGTTTTGGAAAATCACACCACTGAGAGCAATACTATTTGCTGATTCTGAAAACTCCAGGATAATACAGTGGTGTTGTTTATATCTGCTTCAATCAAGCTTCTGACTTCTTCATTTCATCTCCTAATGTATCACGCCAACTGACATGTTGATATACATATTTTATTGTAAATTGTATTCCTTCCATTTCTCCTTTATATTACAGTGAAAGCATTACATTCATTGCATTGGTCTTTTTTTTTCTGAAATTATGTGCCTAAATTAGCAGTCAACAACTTTTTCTTCAGTAAAGAAAGAACCAGAAAGGAAACATTTTAAGCTCTGTGGACCAAATGGTTTTTGTTGCTGCTATTCAGCTCTGCCATTACCATGTGAAGCCATCTATTGGCGATATATTTTTTAAATGGTCATAGGTACCAACAAAAAAAATTGATGTGTAGGGCCCACCTGTGGTCCTGGCACTCTAAAAGGCTGAGACAGGAGAATAACAAGTCCAAGCCCAGTGTAGACAACTTAGCAAGACCCTGTCTCAAAATAAAAAATGCTGGGATATAGCTTAATGTGAAGATGTGGGTTCAATACCCAATAATCCCAAAAAACTGTGTACATGAAAATTTGAATTTCACAGAATTTTCACGTCACAGGATATTATTATTCTTGGATTTTTTTCAGTCATTTCAAAGTATACAACTCTTCCTAGCTCTTGGTCTATACAAAACTAGGTAACGGCCATATGTGGCTAGACCAGGCACTAGTTTACTAATCTCTGTTCTAGCATATCATACTTAACCTTCACACATGGAAACATGTATTATTTTAAATTTTATTTATTTAATCCTTTAAATTCTATTTAATGCACTATGTTGAGTTTTTGAAATAATGTTTGTAAATGCTATCCACAATTTTTGTTAAGCAATTCGGTAAAAGATTTTACACTAAACTAATTTTTTTAAGTATTGCTGCATCAGTACTTAAATTAGTAAGAAAGAACTAAAAGATGTAGTTTCCCCAACAACTGGCTCTGAGAATAGAACTAATGCGGACTTGGCTGTGTGCCAGGCAACAATCCTGTTTGGTTAAAATTGGATGAATTTTGATAAAACTTCCTGTGATAAGGAAGATGAATCCTGGTTTCTCTCTAGTGCACACCTCTTAGGAGCTGTTGCCAGTTCAATGCTTTCAGGCTTGTAGAGTTGCCCATCTATCCAGGGAAGGCACATGCTCTGTGACCAGTAGAGTTGGTTTCAAGCTTAGCTCAGGAAAGATCAGCATTTAGTTTTGATTTGAGTTGTTTTGAGTAGGTGGTACTGTCTGGGAATTTAATCTAAATCGGGATGAGCATTACAGAGTGTTTCAAAGGAGGGCCCTTTGGTCTGAATGCATGATGTCACCTCTGAGCACAGGAATTTCTAAGGCCTGTCACCTCTAGGTCCCATGACTGTGACCCTCTGTTGAGCTCCGCAAGAGGAAAAGCAAGGTGAATCACACAGTATCAAAGCCCATAGAAAGCATTCCGAACCTGTTGTGAACTCCAGCTGATTTCGTTCAACCTCAGAGAGATGTCCTTCCCTCAGTCACTTGATGAATCCTGCAACCACATAATCCTTGATCTAGTTTCTCAACTTGGCCAGACCCAAAGGGATCCTGACTGATTTCAAATTTCCATGCCTTTGTCTGTTACTATAAATTCCCAGAGTCTCAGCTGAACCCTCCACTTGGCTCCCTGGCTGGGCAGAACCTTTCCAGACTCTGCTTTAATGTCATTTTTCCTTTGCCTGCTAACCCCGAGAGTATGCACTGGCTTTCAACTTTGCTATCTCAAGGCCTCCCTTACGGGCAGCAGAAACATCTCAACTCTCTCCATACCACATGGGAAGTCAGACTACCAGGAAGTCTCATGAATTCTAATGCATCCATTACCTGGATTTGTACTGCACACCTTGAAAGGTGATAGCTTTCCAGACAGAGCCTTACCTAGGTTTTTGATTCTTCTTCTACTTGTTTCTGAAGTTCTCTAATCCGGTTTTCAGTTCCAAGAGTGGACTTCCTTTTCATTCATTTTATGTCACAAACTTTCCTTCAATGACATAGCTACAAGCAAGGGGGTTTTAGTGTCATAGGCCAAGAAAAATTATCTTCTCGACACTGATGGAGGACACTGGATCTAAGCAATGCAAGCTCATCTAGAAGCTAAGGGAATTTAGGAACTCCTTTCTTTACACAAATCCCTACCATCAACCTATCATCCTGTGTCTATTCTCTAAACCAGAATGATGAGTTTCTGAGCTAGGACTTTGAAAAGAAAGCTTAAGAACAGTTCTAAAGGAGGAAGCTGAATGAAAGTATATCAGTCAACTTTCCCATTGCTGAGGTACAGTACCTGACACTCACAACTTGAAGGAATTCAGTTGACTCTCACTTATAGTTTCAAGTGGTTCAGTACATGGTAAGTACAGTTCTAAGACTGGAACATCATGGTGGAAGGGTATGGTGGAATGAAATTGCTTCGTTTATGGAGGCCAGGAAGCCAAGCAGAGAAACAGTACCAGACAGGAAAGAGCAAGGGACCAAACATAGTATCAAAAGTCACACCTCTCTGACCCACCCTGACACATCCAAGTGTGTGCTTTACTAATCTGCTAGGTGTTTCTTAATCCAATGAAGTTGTCATATCAGGATTAATGGCCAAGGAAGGTTTAAATTAGTTATATACATGCCAAATTACAAGTATTGTCGAATCTGCCTTATTTTCCTCCAATGTGAATGAAAACAGAATTATGAGTGCAACTTGATCAATAAAGACATAAACACAATTTTATGTGTCACTTATACTTTGGGGTATATATCCACCTGAACTGAAGAGTTGTTTTGAAGTCACATCAGTATGACCTCACAGGTCCCAATGATATTTCTCACCTTCTTGAGTCCTCTGCTCTTTATTCCCATGCTATGAAAATGTCCCACTATGCTTATTTGTGTTCTTGTTTTTATTTTTCTGGTACCTAAAGAAAGGTGCACCTTTTAGCCTTGTAGCTTGCCTCCTTCAATAAACTCCCAGGGTCTCCAAATACAAGGGCTCTGTGCCTATTCAAAGTTTTCACCTGGTAATCTGCCTTTTCTTGTCAAGTGCAGTAGAATGTGTGGATGTGTGCACATGTATGTGTGTGCTGTAGATAAGAAAGGACAGTCAGAAAGTAGCAAGGAAATTAAATACACAATTACTGTATCTCTCACTCTCATCAAAATAGCCAAGTGCTTTTTTGTTTGTTTGTTTGCACTACTAGGATTAATTCTAGGGCTTTTGCACAAACTACATCCCCAGACCTTTTTCATTTTTATTTATTATTTTGAGACAGAGTCTTGCTACATCATTCAGTTTATCCAGCCTGGGCTTGAGCTTGTAATCTTCCTGCCTCAGCCTCCCAGTTCTGAGATCACAGCCAAGTACTTTTAATAAAAACTTACGATGATATATTTACATAATAATTGATCTATTTAGATAAAACAGAGCAAAAGGAGGATTACTGACATAGTATGACTTTGAGGGAGAAAATTATTATTTTATGGATCCTTACCCTTTCTTCGATGGCCAGGACACAGTGCATTTGAACAATCAACTTAGCTTCTTTTCTCTTTTGCTCTTTGTTTAGCTCAACAGAATTCACCAAAAATCCATGAAGGCTGGTGGGCATACAAAGAGGTGGTCCAGGGAAGCTTCGTTCCAGGTAAACGCATGTTTATTGTTATTTACTTTATTTTTATAAAACAATTTTGTCCTTAAACATGGTTAAGCAGAAGTGAATGCTAGCTACCCTGGTTTGATCATTATGTACTGTATACATATTTGACACATCACATTATACCCCATAAGATGCATAATTAATATAAAAATTCATTTTAACGAAAGATAATGTCGGCATTTTGCACTTGCTGTGTGACACGAACTATCCTATAAAAGGCAGTGTAATCTAACATATCATATGAATATGCTACCAAGAGAATTTTTTAAAAATGCATAACAACTGAATCAAAACACATTTTTCCCATCTAAACTAGCAATATCCAGATTCTCCCATGCACAGGAGATGGTGTCAGGGAGAGAGGATGAAAGAGTGTGGGCCAAAGTTCTGTCTGTTGGCATTTTGTTAAATGAGGAAGGACCATTTCTTAACCTCAACAAAATAGGAAATATGAAAAGACTGACCATGGCAACGAAGCTCGCTGAGATACCTGCTGTCACTGATGTCACCTCAGGAGCGTCCGTGGTCAGGACTCAGAAGATCGGGCCAAGCACCAGCTAAAAATACCGGACCAAGTGGATGCTGGCAGCGTGGGGTCAGAGGACAGAAAACCAAAATCAGAATGGAGGCCAAAACGTACTGTAGCTTTAGTTCAGAAGCAAGGGCAGGGGTCTTTGTCTTTTCCTAACTCTCTTGCCTCACTCTGGTCCTCTTTCTTCAGCAGCTCACACTTGAGTGGGGAAAGAGGCAGGGAAAGAGCAAGAATGTTAAAGAAAAGGTACAATAGACATTGTGAAAAGGGAAGAAACTACTCAAAAGGAAAGAACCACTGGGATGGGGAAAGGAGAAAAGAAGGAAGGGGGAAAAAGATACGTATGTGTATATATATATATATATATATATATATGCAAGATAGCTAAGAGTGTACTACTAAGTTCTATTAGTTCACTGAAAGGAACCGTTAGTGCTTATATTGTTTGACCAATTTTGCACGCCCATATGTGGTAATCTGTGCAACTACTTTGAAGATAACACTATGCAGTATAATAACCATTGCTCATTTCCTATCATCTTGTTTTGAAATTTGGTGTCATTTTTATAGCTTTTATTTCCTCTCTTTAAAATGAAAAAAAGATGGAAAGGAAGGCTGGAGAGAGATGTCAAAGTTTTTTTAACTGATTACATGTGTGAAGGTCACGTAGTAAGCTGCTGAGAGGAGTCGATGCATGGGCCCCACTCAAGGCACTAAGAGAGGGCCAGCAGCATAGCTGGAGTTTCCATGGTTGGTGGCAGTAGAAAGAGCAGTGTTCTGGCACACCTCATCATTCGGGGCCGCTATGTCTTTCTTTTCCTCGTTTTTCTCTTGAGTCCACTGCATGAGTTGTTCAATGCTCAGCAAGTTACCAAACCCTTCTGAGCAACTCTGTTCGCATCTATTATCAGGCAATAATAAGCATTCTTAGAACCTTCCCACAAGAGGAAGACAGGCTTGGTGAGGCAGAGTGGGTAACCCAGGAAAAAGCCAGCTGGCTGCCAAATAGCCTCAGAGATCAGCATCATTACCTCGATAAATTTATTATGGCACATCAGGTCTTTGGCACTATCTACATGGAAACTGGACCACATTAGTTCACCCAGAAATGACCGGGTGTATAATAATAATCTTAAAAGAATACAATTGACACAAGCCTTATTCACATGAAATTATATAAATACATGGTATTTGTTATTATAATTGGGGAATCCCTGTCCAACAGAATGTGTATATGTTTTCCCTCTGGGGAATCTTTGCATGTGCAAGATGTCCTGGAGATTATATTTCTAATTATACTGTGGTACCTTGTGAGTGTGGAATTAGAGTACTGAAAGGGATCCCCTCCAGGACATAGTAAGTCCAGCTAAGTTAACTCTGTCCCTACAGAGAACATTCTTTTGCAGTGACCAAAATGCCCATAAATAGCTACTGGTGGTCACTCCAAGATTTTACTCCTCTTCCCCACATTTTTGATGGTTTTCCTTTGTCATCATCCTTTCCTTATATATATTCTATTCTGAGTTGGCTGTTGCCTTAGACAATCACAGGACATAATTTTTATCTTTCCTTTTGATGTTGACTTAAGTTTAGCAGTTCTGGTTTCCTTGTTTTCAGCTAAGCCTGTTTGGCATAACAGTTATGAATCAGTTCCTTCAACAGAGTTTGTGTGATATAAAAATGCATGAGCTCTATAGAAAAAGCAGATGAAAGGTTAACTTAGCTTAAAAATATCCTGTGGTGACTTCAATCAGATTGCTGGAACACTTACAAGGTACAGAGCACCATGTCTGGGAGCAGTAAAGTGACAGTTGATACATGATTCTTACTCAAAGTGAACCCAAAATCTAAAGAAGAACATACACTGTGAACTCATGACTCAGGATAACCAGGGCTCCAGCAGGATTGATGCAACATGTTGCCATGGCTCATTCTGTGCATCAGTTTGGCTAGACCATGGGTACCACCAGGCCCATTTCATCAAATATGTCTTTTTGTTGCTGTGAGTGTACTTTTTCTTAGGTGAGATGCTATTAAATCAGTAGACTTTGAGTAAGCCAGATTACCTTCCACAACGTGAGTGGACCTCAACTAATAAGTTCAAAACCTTAAGGGAAAAAAAAATTTGAAGTCCTCTGAGGAAGGGAGAATTCTGTGTCCAGAAATCTTTGGCCTCAAGAGGGAATACCAACTCCTCCTAAGGCTTCCATCTTGCCACACTGTCCTACAGATTTTGGATTTGCAGTCTCCAAAATAATTACTAAATGAGCCAGTTTCTTAAATCTCTGCTCTCTGTCTCTGTCTCTGTCTCTGTCTCTGTCTTTCTCTCTCTCTCTCCCCCCTCTTCTCCATCTCCCCTCTCTCCCACATTCTGCTGGTTCTGTTTCTTTGGAGAGTTGACTAATATAATAATACAGATGTAAATATGCTATCAGCAGCTCTATCCATGAATGTCATAAGGGGAAGTCTGCTGAATATACTTGGGGATGCAGCCACACTAAAGATGCAGCACAGAAATTTAGAAAATCCGTATCCTTCATGGCCTACTTGAGTGCTGAATTAACCATGTGTTATGGTTTGTGTCTGCATGTCCCCTTAAAGACACATGCAGTCATGGGGCGGGCTTTTAGAGTTTATGATTGATCCATGGTCCAATGCTGGGATTATGGGTGTGAGTGCTACACCCGCCCTGGGGCGGGTAGTTTGCATATGTAAAAAGAGGCTGCTTGCCACCACTCCTCCCTTTTGCTCTTGCTGCTTTTGCTTGCTGCTTTTGCTGTTTTCCACCACCATGAACTGTTGCCCTCTGCCATGTGCCCCTCTGCCTTGGAGCGAGCCGAGTATGGACTGAAACCTGAACAAACTGTGAGCTAAATAAACCTTTCCTTCCTTCATTTTAGGTATTCCTTCCTTCATGTCAGGTATTTTGTTTCAGCAACAAGAAAAAAAGTAACTAAGACACCATGGAACTGCATCACCCTTGATTTTGTTTTGGGAAATTACAGCCCTCTTATGGCTGGAGTTACTGCATGTCAGAGTTTCTCTACTTTCAGCCTAAAGCATTCTTTCTGATTCGGGGGTCTCAGTGCAAGACTGAAAGGCGGAGGAAGGTAGAACTGGATCTTGACAACACTCAGCATTACTCGAAGTAGAGATGGCAGGGAATGAGCAGAATGGCAGACAGCACGGGATGAAAGGGGCGGCAGCGCATGTCGGCTACGGGAAGGAGTGGATGCTTCTGTCTATTAGGAGGCAGGGCACAGGATGGGGCACGATGAAAGAGGAAGGGGGAGCCAGATTTTAAAATGCTTCATGTTCAGTGCTCAGGAATCTTGACACCACCCCTTTAAATATAGGGAAATTATAAGACACCCACAGTCCAAAGTACATTTTATTTATTTATTTTTTTTTAAAGATAAAAGGAGGGAAACATTAACAGACATACAACATTTTACAACATATCACAAGCACAATACAGACAATACAGAGTTACAAACAAAGTGGTAGGGAATTAACAATGGTGGTTGTATTATATATTGATATCTTCAAAGTGGCTTCTCATGAAAACATATATAGACATGCAATACTGCTTCTGTCTTCTATTTCTATGCTGAAAGAAACTGTCAATGAGTCTTTGGTTGACCAAAGTACATTTTAGAAAGCTAGTCATGGGCACAGTGATGGGCACATCCTCACCCAAATGAGGATAATGCAGGCAGAAAGATCTGTGAGGTAGGTATTTTTTCATTGTCCAGGTAATGGATAACAGACTTCTAAAATAAGACTATGCGACCAAGAATAGTGAGTTCGTCACAATACTGCAGAATTAACACAGTTTGCTTAGTAATGTTTAGAGTGTATCTATAAAAAACAATAAAATGTATTCTATATCACGTGTATATAGCTCATTCATAATTACATATAGACACATTCCACACATTAAAGAATAGTCATGCCAAATGCTTTATATTCACCTCCAATTTATCCAAAGCAGCAGGAAAACAGGGCTTTCTCTGTAGAAGCTGCACTATGCTAAGGACAGGGACTGCAGAAAGAGATAACTGCTATCTTCTTGGGACTTACAAACTAGTGAGGATTTAATTGCTTAAAATAAGTAATAGCTCCCTTTTACCCCCAGTATTTGCTTCATGTGGTAATGTTTGAGAGGGAAATTCCCATCTTCCTGTTCAGACTAGAGTAACACAGTTGGCGTATGCTTCAACTTTTTTTTTTTTTTTTTTTTTTTTTTTTTTTTTTTTTTTTGGTTTTTCTCCGGTACCTGGAACCGAACTCACGACCTTGCACTTGCCAGGCAGGCACTTTGCCGCTGAGCTAAATCCCCAGCCCCTATGCTTCAACTTTTAAAGGATTCAATCGGGGTGTATATTTTTCCAGTGTTATACAGCCCTACAGCTGGCTGAGCCTCTTTCAGACTCTCCCACCTCCAAAGGCT